TCCAATGTAGTATTTTATTGAGAATTTTACATGACAAATGTGATGGAAGAGTTTGCCATGGAATCACAGTCAAATCCCAGTGTTTAAGCATCATTGAATAAAAAATATGTTGTTTATTCATAGTATAAATTATTACATGGACAATTTTTTTAAATATTTTATAATTATGATTTCCACCATATAAGCTTTTCGGAACTATATCTCGAAGTGCATTTAAACATCCCAAGAACACATCTTTTTTATCAACAGCACTCATGTTTATTGGATATTTAAATTGAGTAAAGTACTGTTTAAATTCCTGTTTGCAGTTATTCCTTAAATTATTTCGTAACTCATCCAATATAAAAACTAAAGTTTTAGAAGTGCTACACACCAAGTCACTGTCTTCAAGAAGAAACTTACTAAAAGCGTTACCATTATCCCCATTTTTAAAATACTTTGATTTTAAAACATTGCTAAATGACCTTATATTTTGTTTATTAATGAAGTAATTCGAAAAACATATTGGAGTCTCCATAATTACAATAACTTAATTAGGTAAAACACAAACCACTGGCAATAAAATAATATTACGTAGACACTAGACACCACTAAGTTGTTTGTTCATTCAAATTTTGCGGCAAGTTGCAACTTGTTTGTTGTGCACGATAGGGTTGTTGAAAAAATATCGATGTAACGATACATCGATATTTTTTGTATAATATATGAAAATTCTTTGCGATATCTATTATATCGATATAAAACATTAAGTATTGAAAATTTGTCAAACCGCTGAAATTCAAATAATCCGTTATTGGTACAGCGTTGTTATTGACACGGCAATGAGGGATCCATGACTTTTTCTGCTAAAAACGAGGTGTAATATTTTACAGATTTCAAGGCGGGGAAGTTAATTTGTTCGAAAATGTAAAGACTAATGTTTCCTTATGTACGATTAGTTATATTTAATATTAGTTAGATTAAAACTAAATAAACCAAACCACAGATCTTTATAAAAGTGGAACAATTAAAAATAATTAAAATGTGTAAAAAATTAAAGAGCAAACCACTGAGACAATGTTTTGTGTAATATTCAAGAAATTGTGCAAGTTTTATTTAAAAGTAAAGTTCATAAAAGATAGCTTGATCTCTTCGACAGCTGTCAGTAAAATCACGCCTATGAAGTCCTGAATTTCTTAGTAGTACAGACACGTAAACAGAGAAACCTATAGACAAATTGACGCCTTCTTTCGCATTCGCACACGAAAAAGATAGATTTATGCATACGTCTTGCATAGACGGGATGAGATAGGGATATAAAAACAAAAAAACCGGCATGGAGAAAGGGAGAAACAATCACACCGCTCTATCTCATTTCTATGCAAGACGTATGCATAAATCTATCTTTTTCGTGTACGAATGCGAAAGAAGGCGTCAATTTGTCTATAGGTTTCTCTGTCTACGCACTAATTAGGTCGGCATGCCCACAAAGTATGACATTGACAGGTACTGTCTGTACTACTAAGAAATTCAGGACTTCATAGGCGTGATTTTTACTGACAGCTGTCGCAGAGATCAAGCTATCTTTTATGAACCATAATTTCTAAGTTAAATGACATTTTGTAACAAAAACATCACCACTGTGTCAACAAACGACATCGGTTGAGCGCAAAATTATTAGTCGCCGTTGCCGTATCAAATTCGTCTTTTTACTAATGTAATGAATGACATAGACGTGTGTAACTCTTTACGGAACTGACTCACTGATCACTGAAGTGCATCAAAAGATTGGTTCAGTAACAACGTCTCAAATGCATCATTTGGGTCTGGAACATTACTTTGCTCTGTGCTCATTTAGCGCAACGTATTTTGCTCGAGAGGCGACTGAGCCACGAGCGAGAGAGTGACGAGTGAGCGCGCGAAATAATTACAATCTATACAAGTCACAAAGAGATAACAAATGAGAAGTGTATCACTCAACTCGTACGGATTTTCGCTATAGTTATTCATGCACAAAAAATGACCACTAAGGCGCTTACGTATCAAATACTATAATATTTACATTAACAAGTTTGTTATTTTACGTTGATCCGGCACTTGTCAAATTCGTTAGCGCCTGTTTATGAAAACATACTGATTTCTGTTTAGGATTTCTTTGCGTAGTGATTATTGTGACTTACTTTCTTCCTTTTCATCATATATAATACGCCAGCTGACCATAAATTAAGGACTAGCCAGCAGTCCTAAGCCTGGATAAAATATAAAGGAGGATCGATTTTATATACAACCTTATTACGGTACACAATAAATAACTATATAATATATAATAAAAATGACCTAAGCACTTATATCATTCAGCATTGTTGCCACATAAAATTTCACTGAATCACTCAGTAATAAACGCCCGCGACGCAGGGTAATGTATTCGTAACATTCTGTATTTTATATCTTTTGAGTCGATGATCCAAATGTGCCAAATGAAACTTAACAGTGTTTCGGAACATTTCAGTGATCGAGATGCAAATGTTCCAATCGCAAAAATGATATACTTCGCCCACAATGACTACACAGCCCGAATACACGCCTCATGCAAGGCGAACGCTTTCTGTGAACACGTTAGACAAATACGTCTTACTTAGGAAAACGGTCACGCGATTCACTTTAGTAGCGACCACATTCCTGACCCGTGAACATCTTGCTTGTGACTCGTGAATTTTCGACAAAATAAAATACAACAGACGCGCAATATGGCTCCCTGTACAATAAAATGGTGCGGAAATAGTAGCTAAACGTGTAATTACAAAAAATGGCATCACTTTTCATAGGTAAGTGAATTTTAATTTCCAAACTAATTAATTAAAATTAAATCAGAGCTCAACCTATATTTGTCGCAAAGCAACTCGCGGTAATTTATTCGTACATCTTCGAACTATGCGTCCCTTTCTT